TTTTTTTTTTTTCTAATACCACGTGGCTCCTGGGGATCGAATTCAGGTCCTAAGAGCTGGTGGCAAGCACCTTGTTTAGCATGTTTCTAGTCTTATATAGAGGAGACAGGTACACAAACTGGACAGCAAAGGACGGCTTCCAGGGGATCAAGAATGTCTCAGATCTCATGCCTCTGTCATAAACTCGGTTGCCTGCTCTTTAATCACTCACCCCCCGGTGATGTAGCCTTACCAGGCAAGGATCCAGACAGTCCTGGTGAGACTTGATAAATTATGGGAAGATGACAGAGGAGGAGAAATCCCCCTTTCAGTGGTCTAGGGGAAGGAGATAGGGAGGAAGGGTGGAACTCGGGGGAGTTGAGGGAGGGAGCTTCAATCGGGATATAATGAAAAAAAATATTGTGAAAAAAATTAAAAATTAAAAAAATAAACAAGAAAAGGAAGAAGAAGATAGAGAAGATGCTGGAGGTTCAACCCAGGGCATCAAGGAAAATAACTCCTGACAAGAGCTGAAGACCAGAGCCAGGCACAGTGGCACATACCTATAATCCCAGCACTAGGGGAGACAGAGGCAGATGAATCTCTGAGTTTGACATCAACTTAGTCTACAAAGCAAGACTAGGACAGCCAAGGCTATATAGAGAAACCCTGTCTCAGGAAGAAAAAAAAAAGCTACAGACCAGGGCCTTCTATTCCTTGCAAAAATATTATTAAAGAATTGGTTTTTTTTTTTTTTTTTTTTTTTTTTTTGAAACGGTTTCTCTGTGGAGCCTCGGCTGCCCTGGAGCTTACTTTGTAGGCCAGGCAGGACTTGAGCTCACGCAGATACACCTGCCTCTGCCTCCCCAAGTGCTAAGATTAAAAGGTGTGTGTCACCTGGCCCAGCTTCAATTTAACAATCTTTTTTTTCCCCTCAAGACAGGGTTTCTTTGTGTAGCCTTGGCTGTCCTACGCTTGCTTTGTAGACTAGGCTGGCTCCAAACTCACAGAGATCTGTCTGCCTCTGCCTGAGTGCTGGGATTACAGGCATTATTTAACATTTTTGAAATCATTAAAGCATATGAGTGGAGAGCAGATTAGTTGCTGCTTTCAATTAACAATGAGGTAAAAATCATTGGGTATAGTGGCCCATGCCTTTAATTCTAGGACTTTGGAGGCAGAGGCAGGTAGATCTCTGTGAGTTCGGAGCCAGCCTGGTCTACAGTGTGAGTTCCAGGACAGTCAGGACTACAGAGTGAGACCATGTCTCAAGACAACAACAGTAGCCACAACAAAACAAACATTTAAAAATGGAGTAGTAAAACAGGAAACAGGTTAGAAACCTGTAATTCCAGCATTTGGGAGGTGGAGACAAGAAGATTAGAAATTCAAGGACATCCTTTGCTACATAATGAACTTGAGGCCAGCCTGGGCTAAAGAAGAGTCTGTCTCAAAAATAAAAAGTATATATGTGTTGGGGGAATAGGAGAGGAAGGAGGAAAGAGCTCTAGTTATAAAGGAGCAGCAAGAGTAGTCTTTATTTAGGGTGGAAGGCTTGGGGTGTACCTCAATGTTCTGTTTCAATGTTAATATTATTACCATGCTATTGAACTATAGTTTTAGAAAATATTACTATTGAGGGAATCAGGGTATAAGATTCAAGCAATAAACAAAAAAGCTTAATAAAATTTTAACCCCAATCTACCCTCCTACCTAATTACCTGCTATTGTTTTTCATTTATCTCCCATGTAGCCACACTGGGGTCAGGATGGCTACTTAAAGCTCTATGCATCTGAGTACTCTCCTAGGTTGGGGGCGTGGAAAGAGTACACATAGCCTAAATGACCCTAGAATATCCTTTATGAAGATGCCATGCTGGGCACCAATGTGCCAGCTCTCATGAAGCACAACCAAGCCAGATGCCCCCACCCCAGACTGTAACAATGACTACAGATTTCTGTTCCTCATCTCTCACTATCTCTCAGAGACATAGGGGTATCGAGTAGAACAGCCCAGACCACACTTCTCTTTTTTCTTTCTCTTCCTATATGTCTATGGTTGAATTTACAGTTAAAGGCAAGGGAATCTATTCTTTTAACTTCCTGCATCCTAACCCAAACAGAAAAACCAGTTGTTACATAACCATAGTAGTACAGTTCTGTCTGCAGATGCTTGTCTGGGATTAGATGGCCAAGTGCTTCAAGTAATTATTTGCTGACTATCTTTCATCCATGGTCAAAGTAACAAAATTTATGTGTATGTGTGTAGGTCACGAAATAATCCTTTGTAGGATGCCATTCACCCTGTTTTTTTTTTTTTTTTTTTTTTTTGGTATGAGCTCTTCTATTGGATTAGGCTAGGCTAGTTAGCTATAGTCAGGGCTAGAATTTTAAGTGTATGCCGCTATCTCCAGCTTTTTAAATATGTGTTCTGGGAATCAAACTTAGGTCCTTTTCCCAGGCATTTTACTGACTGAGCTATCACCCCAGTCCCTAAGTTAACACATTTTAAAGAACAGTGCTAAAAGTGTGATAATTCTACCATTTAGAAGTGAAACTTGTCTTTGGTTTCTAGTTTGACCATATTGTCATTTTGGTGTTTATTTCTTGAACATATTTCTCTACTAATTTGAAAATGGGAAAATTACATTGAAATTTTAGTTTCATATTTTAAGAGCAGAGATGGCATATGCTTCAGTTTTAAGGGACACACTGGGTTAAACTTTGGAAGCAGCATCATCCTTGTCTTTAACTTCGTATGGAGCCTCTTAGCTAAGAACAAGTTACCCATACTGCCTTCTGTTTGCATCCACGAGCCCACCTTAATACTTCATAAGAAAAAAGGGGGGGGGGCAAGTAAAATAACTCACCTTTACGGCATTGCCACCACCTTTAGGGCCCTGAGACTTCTTGTCAGCACTGTCCCTTCCAGAGGCTGCGCCCCCTTTAGAAAAAGAGAGGAGAGGTACTCATTTCAGCTCAACTTTGACATTTACAGGTGAGTCCATCTCACAATACACTATGACCCTTCCATTAGAGCTCCAAGCTCCAAACAGCTATATGGTGAGTCACTTCCTCTGTGACTCACTTCTAAGACCAGGAAATGTGCATTACAAAACACTTCACCGAAAATGAGAAAGAAATGTGTGGGCATGGATGAATGAGCTCTAGGAGCCTGGTCAAGGCTCTACGGACCCCATTTCAAATCTTGCCGTCTAATGGCAGAACACTAAACGCTGCCATTATACAAAATTATATCTCTTTCATGTTCTGTGACAGTGTGATTTACACTTGCAATTTTAACATACAAAATCTCCACGAATGTTATTTTGAAGGCTTTGGTTGTTATCTCTACGGGTGCTTGCAAATGCTGTATTAAAAAAAAATACTACAGGAACTCCACAAGGAGAGCAGCAGAACAAGAAAATTTGAACAGAGGGAACTTCCCAGAGACTGATATTCCAACCAAGGACTATCTATGGAGATAACCTAGAACCCCTGCACAGATGTAGCCCAAGGCAGTTCAGTGTCCAAGTGGGTTACATAGTAATGGGAAGAGGGACTACCTCTGAGATAATCTGATTGGCCTGCTCTTTGATCATCTCCCCCTGAGGGGGGAGCAGCCTTACCAGGCCACAGTAGAGGACAATGCAGCCACTTTTGGTGAGAACTGATAGACTAAGATCAGAAAGAAGGAGAGGAGAACCTCCCCTATCAGTGGACTTGGGGAAGGGCATGCATGCAGAAAGGGGAGGAAGGGTGGGGTCGGGAGGGGAGGAGGGAGGGGCTTATGGGGGGATACAAAATGAATAACGTGTAATTAATAATAATAATAAAAAAAGCTCAAAAAAAAGATACTACAAAGTATATATGCCTAAGGAATGTACTTACGCAACAATTTCTGTAGTCTACCACAATGTCTACAGATTTCCTCCTGGCAAGAATTTGTGACATTCAAGTTATCAAGCACTGGTAGCACATCTTACTACTGTTAAGTTTTATGTCAAAGACAGGGTATTAACTGTTAGTGGCCAAAGTGTCTTAAGAACTACACCTGGATTGAGTATTTAGTTCAACAACTGCTTCCTAAATAAATCCCAAGTTCCAGGTGTGAGGGGTATAACGTCAATAGGGTTCATAGCTTTCACCAAAGAACTCACATTCCACTGAGGAAGACAGATAACTTTCTGAGAATACAACAGGTAAAAAATGTGGAAGGAGAATTTAGAAATAGACATCTTAGTTAGCCAGGGAATAGCTGATAGATGAATAAGAGCTGACCAGTTAAAGAAGAGCAAGAACACCCCCCATGCATAATTCTATTTTCATATTTATTTTGGTTTTTGTTTTGAGACAGGGTCTATGTACTTCTGGTGACCTCAAACTCAGATCTTCCTGTCTCAGCCTCCCAAGTGCTGTGGCCTGGGTTTGTGGCACCTCGTCCATTCTCATCCTTTCTTTTTAAAAAGTCTTGGTTTCTTGAGCCTTTGAGATATCACTGTACTACACTCTTTATTTGTCTCTTCTCTGGATTCCCACAGCCACAATTTTAATCCTGGTCACCTCTATCTCTTCCTGGAACTACTGAAATGATCTCTTTAAAGGACTTCCTGGTGCTCGCTTCGGCAGCACATATACTAAAGGACTTCCTGGCCCCTAACCAACCTTATTAACATCATACACAGCATCCCCACAATTTAGTCTTCTGCTTTAATTATATTCACTCACTAAATTTGTCTTGAAGTTTTAGTTCAGCAGTGCTGTACTACAGAAATCGTGCTGTTTCTCATCGGTGCTTTTGGGGCTGGACTCTCTTGGGGCAAGTGTGTTTTGCCCTATTGCTGCTGCTTATCTTGGCCTGCCCAAAGTATCTCCAGTTTGTTTCCTTACCCCCTTTCCACTTTCTGTAATATACCTATCTCTCAGCACTACATTCAGTACAGTACTTTCTGGCTACTACCTTTCCCACTTCTTCCAGGGATGACTAAGAGCTGTGTCTTATTTTTCTAGCCTGAAAGCACAGCGATGGGCCTAACACCCGTCTTCAAGAAATGAGACCCTCAAGAGGGAGTGTGGGGAATGTCATAATGAGACCTATACGGCCCACTATTGCAGGCTTCCTTTTACTGCTGGCGTTTTACCAGATTAAATTTTAGTGCTAATAAACTCTTAAAATAGTAATTCCAGGTCATGAGAAACCATCCCCACCAGCTTCTATTACACACAATGACGGTCCCTGCACTGAAGCCACTCACGCACTTATCCGTTCTGATTTACCGGAAAAAAACAAAACAAAACAAAAAAAAAAAATCCAAAAAAACAAACAGAGACCACAGCGGCTCGGAGGACCACTGGTCACCTGCTGTTCGGCTTCTGACCCCCACAGCTGCCGGCCTAATCCCGTCCTTCTCCTCATCCAACCCCATGTTCCCTGATTGTCTCGGCCGGTCTACCTTTGCCCCCTTTTCCAGAACCACTTTTCCCCTTCATTGGCATCTCTGAAGCTTGCGGTTGAACTCCCAGTTGTTCCGGTGCTAGGAGAAGCCCCCTTCAGGCCCCGTAGGTATGCCCTAAACAATGCCTGAAAGCAGTGTCAGCAATCAACCACTTCCGCCGCGGTTCCGGAAACAGTCATAGCTTGGGACAGACCCAAGCTTGGGCTCCTTGACCAATGAGAGCTGGAGATGTTTGACCAATAAGAAGCAGAAGTCCTATGGCGAGGCGGAGACAAAAGTTTCCCTGAGGCTTTTTCGTATGTCTTTTACGCCCCCTCATTTGTACCCACTCTAAAGTCTCTCTCGCCCCCGCCCACTTTCTCTGCACATGCGCGGTGCAAGCCTCAGGTCACTGCAGGTCTTTGGCGTGGGTCTTACGAATCCGTTGGGGACTCTAAACAAAAGGAAAGCAGCGAGAGCTGAGGTGATGGTTCTCTTCTGTCCTCTCGCCTCCACAGGCGTGCACTCTCTGGTGACTTTTCGTTTTTCATTTATTCATTTGTTTATATTTTTGCAGCAGTAGTTGATAGGGTCCAAAAGATGGAAGAAAAAGCCTATCATCCCACTGCCTGTGGCAGAAAACTACCATGAGAAACATTGGAAGCAGCCTAAATTAATTTTAAAATGACGACTAAAAACTGTTATACATAAATAGCCTTAAAGAAAGTTACAGAACAAGGTGTAGAATGTGATTTTTTTAAAGTTATATGTCATGTACTACATAATACATGTATCGAAAAGACAGACAAGCTATTAATACTTAATACAGCAGGACAGCATGTGACGACTATTGTCAATCTATATAGTCATTCTTTTTCCTTTTTAAAAAATTATTTTTGATTTCATGTTTTGCCTGCATTTACATCCATGAGGGTTTTAGATCCCCTGGAACTGAGGTTACAGACAGTTGTGAGCTGTCATGTGGGTGCTGGGATTTAAACTCAGGTCCTCTGAAAAAGCAGCCAGTCCCCTAAGCACTGAGCCATCTCTTCAACCTTTTTTTCTTTTTTTTCTTTTTTTTTGGTTTTCGAGTCTCAGGGTTTCTCTGTGCAGCCTTTGCTACACAGTCACTTTGTAGACCAGGTTGGCCTCCAACTCACAGAGAGTGACTCTGCCTGTCTCTGCCTCCCAGCTGCTGGAACTAAAGGCATGTGCCACTGCCATCTGGCTCAAAATTCATATGACAGCACAGCATAAGGCAATTTAAAGCTTGGATTCTGGAAGTACATAGCCTACTTTCAAAGCTTTTCAATTAGGCCTGTGACCTTGAAGAAACTCTTAGGCTCAATTTCATCTTGTGGGAGATGGAGTTGATAATAGTGTCTGCTTATAGAGTATCAGGAGAATTAACTTCATAGATGATGACTAACTCAGGGCATTTACTTAAGATGAATGGCTTTTAAATTTGCATCCAAGTGGGCTCTCCTCTCGTTCTCACGCAGTCTCTCTTTTGGGGGTAGGGTCTTGGTAAGTAGTCTAGACTGTTCTGCAACTTCCACTGTCCTCCTGCCTCTGCCTCCCAAGTGGTGGGATCATAGTCATGTGCCACCTGAATACGTTTCTCTCCTTATCCACAATCCTTCCCTCTTCCATTAATAATTTTTATATATGACACCTTTTTCTGTATTCCATGAGATCACTGTCCCATTTTGGCTATTTGACTCAAATTAGTTTTTGCAATACCCGGGATCAAACCCCTCTCACAAAGGCCAGGCAAGAACTCTAACCATCAGACACATCAGCCACACCCCAGGCAAAAATTTAGAGCTTTTACTTTGCTGCTGTTCTGCAGCCCAAATTGGCCTTCCATTTCCAGTTCCTCCTGCCTCTGCATCCTGAATGCTAGATTACAGACAGGTACCACCAATCTCAGCCTGAGTTTTGTTTTTGAGCAGTCACTGCTAGATTTGGAGGTGGCTCACGCCCTAGAGAGTAGTTATTTCTCAGGTTATGCTCATCATCAAACAGGGCCTAACGAGGTGCCCTTTTGTGATGATGTGACTTCTGGAAACATTTTGGTCCCTTCCCGTTTCAGATTGGCAGCATCCACTGTGGAGAATGCCTCCAGTATGGAAGGGGTCATTGCTTTTCCACATCAGAAATGGGGAACCTCCTACCCCATGCTGACTTCCCATGTCTGGTTGAGAGGTGAGGTGGAGTGCTGAACAATAACAGTGTTGACTCATGCTTAGGGCCAAAGTGGGCCAGATGACCTCTTTGCCTTTGCTTTTTGTTTGTTTGTTTTTAATTAAGAAGGGCCTTTTCTGTAAGCAGTGGCTACAGTAAGTAGTGTTGGGGTAGGAAAGTAACAAACCAGTGTTCAAACCCCACCGAAGAGTCACTGTGAAAGTTAGGTATAGTGGTACGCACCACCCTAGCACTGGGGAGGTTGAGGCCAAAAAAAAAAAGTCCAAAGTTTGAGGTTACCCTTGTCTACACAGCCAGAATCTCTCAAAGTGTGGGGGAGTATCTAAACCAGGCAATGGAAATACAGCTCAGTCAGTAAAGTGCCTGCCATATAAGCATGAGGACATGAGTTTGATCCCCTTAGCAATGTAAAATACTGGGCATGGTGGCATGTGTCATAACCCTGGTGCTAGGGAGATGGTCACAGAAAGGTCACTAGTCCATCTGAAACAGTGAGCCCCAGGTCCCAATGAGAGACTTGATTTCAAAAAAGTGGAGCACTCCTGAGGGTTGACCTCTGTCCCCCGTGTGCCCCACCGTCATGTACATACAGATGTTCGTGTGCTCCCATGCACACAGGACATGACAAAACAGAAAACCATAGTGATGCACTTTGCCTGGAACCTTGTGAGCCTTTTGTGTACTGGAGTAGATAATCACAGCTCTAAAGGTAATAACCAAGCCTATGTGTATGTCTGACTTTGTCTAAAGCAGTGCCTGAAGACCAGGAGCTTCAGAAAAAGAAGAAAGCTCCATTGTGTGTAATTTTTTTTTCTATTCAAGGAAAAGGCAATAGGCAAGTAAAATGGCAAATTTCTGAATTCTTGGCACTTGGGAGAGATAAAGATAGGAACGTAAGAAATTCAGATCCGGGCTGGGGACATCTCAGTGGTTAAGAGCGCTGCTTGCTCTTCCAAAGGACCTGGTGCAATTCCCAGCACCCACATGGCAGCTTACAATTGTCTGTAACTGCAGTTCTGACACCTTCATACCAATGCCGCAAAGGATAAAATTAAATGTTCTTAAAAACAATTCAAATCCAGCCTTGGTTCCATAGCAAGCTCAAGGTCAGCCCCGGGCTACATGAGAGCCTATCTCAAAAACGCTAATAAATTTAAGGGTATTGTTATCAGAGAAAGCAATGATTAAGAAAGCCCAAGTCTCTATAGGGTTAAGTGTGCATCAATCTGTGGAGACCGACTGTGGAACAGAGTGACAAATTATCTGAATAGAGGGCAGCAGGAGCAGAGAAGCAGAAGATTCAGCCTTGAAACCATGGTAACCTTTGCTGGAGTGCAGGAGTGACTCAGAGCCAGTAATGGCTGCTAGTTGTATTTTCTAGGAATAATCTCCTCTGACTAAGGCTTTTATATATTACTTGAACAAGTGAAATGAGGAAGGGAAGCTGGCAGCCCTCTACCCAGGAAAAATCGTTCACAAACTTGGCCCAGACTCACTGCCCAATCCAACTGCACCAGAAACAAGAGGCTGTGGTTTCTCATCTGTTAGGTATCCCAGCAATACTTTGAAAAGAAAAGCTTGAAGTTGTTAACAACACAGAGATCTTGTTGACCCCATCCCAGGTGGGAAGTGCATAGGGATCTCTGGGCCCCATACTCTGCAATCAAAAATACAAAAGAGCAGCTTGTTGTGGCCCACGGCTTTGACCCCGGCACTCAGAAGGCAGAGGCTGTGGATTTCTGTGAGTTTGAGGCTAGCCTGGTCTACAGAGTGAGTTCCAGGATAGCGAGAACTACATGAAGAAACCGTGTTTCAGCCAGGTGGTGGTGGTGCAAATCTTTAATCCCAGCCCTTGGGATGCAGAGGCAGGCAGATCTCTGTGAGTTCAAGTCCAGTCTGATCTACAGAGTGAGTTCCATGGCAGCCATGGCTATACAGAGAAACCCTGTCTTAAAGAAAGAAAGAAAGAAAGAAAGAAAGAAAGAAAGAAAGAAAGAAAGAAAGAAAGAAAGAAAGAAAGAAAGAAAGAAA